TATATATTCGATAAAATGTAAATAAATAAAAATAAATGATTAAAAATAGAATTTAGTCATATATATATATATATATGTATTGAGTATAAAAAAAGTTTCTGTTAAGGAATACAAGAATAAAGTAGTAAATCCAACGATTTCAAAGTTCTCTCAGTTTTCGCAAAATTATGAATTGAACGTTCAGAGGCAACAAGCAAGATTCCAAGGAGGGACCTTTCCGATATAAATATATATATATATATATACACAAGCAGAATGTCGACAAAAAAAAAAAAAAACTTCATGTTCATGTTAAATCTATTGCGAGATAAGAACGGTAATGTAATAACGGATAAAAATTATGCATTCAAGAATAATAGACTAAAACCGGATACGGTGAGGTCCACACCATTAAACTTTACATCGATGAGCCTAATCTTATATAATAAATTATTGTTATTCATAAAAAATATAATATAAAAAAAAATATAAAAAAAAAATATGAAACTGTGATATAAAAAAAAATTCGATTAGTAGTATTTAAACAAATTAAATCTAATAACGTAATAAAAATTCTTCAAATGTATAAACTTATTTGTAAAACTTGATTAAGAGATACACAGCTAAATAATTGGTATAGACTGTTTGTATTTCTTTATATGCGGAAGTAGATTAAATGAACCGAAGTAATTAGCGAAATTAAACATAATTCATTACCTTCCAACTGTTGGTAAATCTTTATGTACGGTTTTGTTAATAACATTCATCTTCAAATCCGTAAATAATAATATATTTTCGTATATTTGCGATCATATGTAGTTATTTAAATTGCATACAACGGGTGGGAGAAAAATATTTTTTACAAAGTAATATCAACTCTATTTCATAAAATAAAGAAGCACATATTGAACTTTAGTAATGAGAAAATATTATAGTTTTATTATGTATAAATTGTTTAAATACTTCAAGTCTTTATGTGATAGTTGTAAGCTTTTTATTGCAAAATATTCATTTTATGAATTAATTCAAAACAATTAATAGTTATAATTTTTTTTTTATTTAATTTTTCGGCAAATTATTGAAAATTATATAATATAGTATTATACGAGCGAAGATACAGGTATGACGAATAATTTATAATCTTAAATAGGTTAGAATTGGATTATAAATATATTGAACTAAAAATAACAAGATTTTTGGAAAGGCAATGAATGTTAAGAATTGGGTAAAATCGTAACGAATTTCCGCTAAGTGAAAGAGGGCATTTAGAAAATGGTAAATTGGGTTGTGGGGTGTATCGATGTGACAAAAGATTGTTAATTAATTATGTACGCATTTAAAGATAATAATTGTCAATGGATTAATAAAGATATGACATATTATAAATTGGTAAAAAAAAAAAAAATATATATATATATATATATATATATATATGCATGTATACATACACAGGACGAAAATTAGAATGTGCAAAAATTAAATTGTTTGAAAATGAGCTCAAATGAAATAATAGTTAGATGAATGCATTTTTCAATGAAAACAGTTTAATTGTAATAATGAAGAGTTCTATTTCACACAATATAAAAAGCATAATTAATTAAATTGGAGAGCGATAAAGAAGCGCACAACTAAAATGATAAGATAAATATGAGATTGTAAAATTAAAATAAAATTAAAATAATTAAAGGCCTTTAGGCGAAGGAACATAAGGAATGAAGTATAATATCAAATTAGATATGGAAGAAGTAAATTGGGAGCAAATATCCTGGACAGAATTGGCACAAAATAAAGAAAACCAAAGTGCCGCTCTCACGTTGACGAGGTGATGATTACTTTTTTTAATTTGATAATCAAGTAATAGTAATAATAAGATAGATTCTTCTTACGGACCGAAAACATTTAGAACTGGTGTAATTACGTAAAACGGTTGTCTATAAATTTATTCATACATATGTATCGAGATCATAAATGATGGTCTTGCCAATGATGGCATTACACGCATGAGACACAGAATTGTGCCATTGCTCTTAAGAATAATAATTATCAACGCATTAACAGAACCAGTATTTTATGAAAAAATATCGAGCGTGTGCTATCGTAAAACTATTTACGGGCAGAGTATTCTTCATTTACAATAACCGTAAAATACAAGCTACAGAAATACCGTTTGGATTTTTATTATGTAAGCCGCTCACATTTTTGTATAAGCTTATATCTATATATATATATATATATGGTGTGTGTGCGTGTATGTGTGCGCGCGCGCGCGTGTGTACGTGTCAATGAGTTGTACGCATTTATAAGAGTGTCACTTGTAGTTGGCAGCTTCTAAGATGTCAAAATATCCATTAATAATTATAATGATACCAGTAATTATCCATTTGTTTCGAAGGGATGGAGTGCGGATGATCCGATTAGAATCAAAAGGAAATAGATCCTCTCTGATGATTCGCGACCGATTGTCAATTGTAAATGGAATAATAATAACATCTAATTGAAGAACGTCATTTGTGACTTACAAATTTATTATCCATCCGAAAATCTCCAGAAATGTCTGTGCGTCTAAAAATAAGATCGAAAGAAAGTTGGAAATAACGCAAGGTGAGGATGGCATTTCTGGCAGACACATAGCAACGCTGTCGCTTAGGAAATCCGCATCTGGAAGTTTGTCCCCTCTATAGGCGACGAGACACGAGCGCCGGAATCGACGCGAGTTGCATAAGTAATTGTCATTTTAAATGGAACCCTCTTCCGTCGGGGCGGTGCGTGATTGCGTAATACGGAAAGTCATCGCTGCGAGACGACGACGACGACGACGACGACGACGACGACGACGACGACGACGACGACTCGTGGAAATAGCACGAAACGAGAGACAGAATTCTTCTTCTTCTTCTTCTTCTTCATCATCATTATCATCATCATCATCATCTTCATCTTCATCTTCTTCTTCTTCTTATTTTTCTTCTTATTCTTGTCTCGTCCCTCCTTCACCTCCTCCGCCATTGACGGTCAACACACAATCGTCGGTACGAGCGACTTATGAAAATAGCAGATGCACCGGCCGCAATTTTCGCGGGCTTTTATTAGTGAGGGCACCCCAGCTAGATCGACATTTTAAAAGCGACGATAGCGCGCGCTTTATGAAGCTTGAGCGCCAAGGAAGCGAGCTTTTTAGGTTAGGATGTACTTATCACAGCCATCGCTTGCTCACACATTGCCACAACGGGATCTCATCTCGCTTACACTTCATATCGATTTAAAAAGCTGTGACTTTTAGTCCTTAAGGTAGCGCATGTATATTAAAAAACACTGGCTCTTCTCTAATTATCTTCACTGTGTCTCCAATACGTTCTCGTTTTCTCTACAGATTTTATGTTGCTTATCTTTTCCGTTTTGCCAGCGGAAGTCGTCGTTTCATACTTTCATTATCATTAACACTTTCTACTTGTTGAGAAATATTCGGAATTCATTTAACGAGCCCTAAGTCTATGAATTAATAAAACTAATTCATCTCCTGCCTTAAAAGAAGTAAAGAAAAAGAAAAAAAAGAATAAACAACATTAAGCGTAAAAATTTAATTATTCGCAAATTTGGTTTTATCAGATTAATCTTATCGGCTCTGATTGCAAAGAATATACTTGGTTAATGGAGTCGGTAGCCAATAGCTGGTAACCAATTAAAGAGTTACGCTACAATATATAATTATCAAAACTTTTCTCGGCTCAACAATATTTCATTAAGAAATGGTAAAAATAGGCCCGATGATTATTATTGCGCAAATGAATCGAAAAATTAAGTAACGCATCAGTGTAGGGATACGGCCGTTTTTTCTTCGTCTTTTTTTTTTTTTTTTTTTTTAAACAAATAAATAAAATGGTCTAATCATAGAAATAAATACATGATCGTCGGAGTATCGATAGGAATTTGAAATTATACTGACATCTACTTGCGCATGTGTGGACGGAGAGATAAATACAGGAAGGCGCGATATGAAAATGCACGTGGATCGAATAATCATATTTTAAAGTTTACTCGTCATCTGCTGCGAATCAATGCTTTTTAATCTGCACGTTGATATAAATGTTTGATTTCATACACTCTCGATGTTTATTATTTACAAATTGTTCGGACCTTCGATTTTGAAGGTCCGATTATCCAAGTTTTAACTTGCAACAACCTGGGACTTTCTGAGTTTCAACTAAACCACAAATGTTAAGGAACTCTAACGATCGAAGCCTATCCAACGAATATTTCTTTCTAATAATAATAATAATAATAATAATAATAATAATCAATAGTCAATAATAATAATAATAATAATAATAACAATAATAATAATAATAATAATAATAATAATAATATAAAAAAAGACGATAATTTCACGTTTTTGCTTTTTGCACGCAATGCGAAATATATGTGAAATCTGCCTTGATTCACAGCAGTTCCAATTACCTGTGGAGTACAATTTCCACGCCTAATGCGAAATTTAACGTATCACCGATATCTTCGTATCTTCCTCGACTTTCCACGTAAGACATTAATAATGCCTATCGGGCGCCGGACCCCTCGCTCACTCTCTTCAAATTATTAAAGAAAAAAAGGGGGAAAAAGTAAAGAGAAAAGGGGCGGGGTGCGGGGTGCGAAGCGGGGGGGGGGGGGCAACGAATAAAAAAGCACGCGATTTAAATATAAAAATGAAAACAATAAGCCTCGACTTGCATTCCGAGCACTCGTCTCCAGCAGATAGGCGGAGAGAGGAAACATATAGGACGGGATGTGCCGGAGGAAGAAGCAAACGCGTGCGGGGGCCGATACGCCGCCGATTTCGAATTCGGACGGAAAGTTTTTTAGACCCCGAGCGGGTTATCGAACTCCGAGAGATCCAGCCACCGTCGAATGCGGGGCCATGGGCGCGTTAAACAATCGAGCCCCCGGGTTAGGAGGGCGGGCGCGATGATGGTGGGAGGGGGAGGCCCGACAGTCGACAGGAGCTCTAGGTTATGTCGACGCTCTCTCACCTTCTCCTTGGCTCTGCCCGCGTGCTTCTGCACGGTCTTGGCGATGAGTGCCCCCTTGCTCTCTGCCATGGCTCCGCTGTCGCTTCTAGCCCGACGAGACGAGGACGGCGCACTGGCTCTCACCTCCTGCCTCTTGCCCCTGACCACGACGATCAAACACTACGCGGTGAACGCTGTCGGCGAGCCGAGCTCCCCCTCGTAAGCGCGGCCTCCTCAACTCCGTCCGTGCGCTACGTGAACCTCGAGCTCTGGGTGGCTGGACGCGCGCGTTGCCAATCGTTTCGTCTGATGCGCCGGGGAATACTGCGCCGGCCACGACCGTCTCCTCGCTGTCTTCTTCCTCTCCTACCGCCTACGGCTGCTACGGCTACGGCTGCTGCCACCGCCACCGCCGCTGCCGCCGCTGCCGCCGCCACCGCCGTCGAACCGTTCCATTATGTCCGTGCGCGCGCGCGCGCGCGTTCCCTTGACCCCTTCTTCGCCGGCAGGGGGCCGCTCCTTTCAACGACCGGAGCGCGATGGATTCCGTCTGAAGAACCGAGGCAACCAGTGCCGACGTGGAGAGCGTGATTCTGGGATCTTGATGACGTTGGGTTGGCAGCACCGATCGCCGCTTAATTTTTCAAATCTAAATCACGAGACGGCGTACCGTTGAGAGGCGTTCCTTCCTAGTTTTGGACTTTTGGCGCGAGGGTAGCGCGAACTTTACCATATCCCCTTGAGGAGTCCCCAGGAAGAAGGGGAGCAGCACACATAGTCGATTAGGTTCATCCTTGACGCTTTAATCGAGGACGAGGATCGGTTGTGGTCATATTGTGCATTACGCAGGTAGTAGTAACGGCCTGTGCTTCGTTTTGTTTTCCTACAATTAATAACAATAACGTCGTCCGGGAATTCGTATTACGATAGTGGCATGCGTGAAGAAGAGTACCTATGATCTTCCTACTTTAGGCTTGGCAGGTCATTATTTCTTTGATGTGGATCGATAACAATAAGGAAACCGAAACAGGACAATTTACTTTAGGTAATGAATGTTTTCAGAGGCTTATTTGCACAGGAATAATGGTATATGGTTGTTAATTGTAATAGCCTATCATTAGAAAATAATTTATAAATCATACGTGCTAATGGTATTGAAGTAATGAAAGGGAGTGAATAAATGACATTTGCCTACAATACGAATAACAAAAGTCGTATTAACGAATAAATGAAAGGGCAGTCATTATTTTTGTATGCGATGGTAATAATTATGAGGGGATGATCGCTGCTTGTTATTGAGGTTTGAAGAGCGATTAATTGAAAGAGCAGTGTTTGGTTGAAAAATATATTTATTTTCAACAAATTTTAAATAATTAAAATTCAAAGTAAATTATACAGAATAAAAATTATTTATAATAAACCTTCTACATATCTATATTTCGAACTCGTATAATATGAAAGTTTATTCATCGAAGAGCTTTTCAGCCGTATTAACTAAAGAAATGTTTTCTTTACGACACTTTAGTTTTAAAACTACATGATATACATGTATCACAGTGATTTAATTGAAATTATGTTTAGGTAACAAATATATAGGTATTATTACAATTTTAACTATTAAAAGCATTTTGTAAGGCATGCAACACGTTTAAACATCCCCTTCGAAAATCTTAATTTATAAGCATAGAGAATAACTGCATTTCGTTATATAAAAAGAGAGAAGAAATAAGAAGGGGGGTTGGGCTAGCCGGGGTGACGAAGAGCAAAAAATAAAGCTATTTCGAATATCTACCGCTTCTATTATTTCATATATAAGAGGTGAAATAAAACTCTACGCTTATTGATTTGTAAATGGTTTTATTAATAAATTATCTTTTTTTATTTATTTATTTATTATTTCGCGAAAAGGATTGCTCAAAAGAAATAAACGTCTGATAAAAATCCATTTTAATAACAGAAACAGACGGACGACACACGCAAATGTTGTGAAATGCATAACTATAGTTCATACGTATACCTGATACACAAGGGTGATGATAGATAAAATTCCATTATTTAATTATGGTTTATCCAAAAATTACAATTGACAACAGCGTCTTTGCGTCACGGACCGCTCGGAATTATCAATGTGTACCTTTTATACGATGTATAGAGCTTAGTTATTTAATTTACTTTAATTCTTACACCACCTCATATTTAAAGTCACTTTTTTTTTTAATAAAGTTTTTATTGTACTTATATTATTAAACTTTAAATTTATATCGCAATCGTGATTCGTGACGAATGATCACTTTGAACAAGCTTACGGGATAGAAAGATAAAAATTTTTTAGAAAAAAAAACTATGTATATATGTGTATGTATGTATATATAAATATATATATATATATATATATATATATATATATATATATTTTTTTTTTTTTTTTTTTGATACATCTCGTAGGATATATAAAAGAAATATATTTGAAAGCCCAGATCGTGAAGGTACTCGTCGAGCCTTACTACTACCACTACTACATCTCTCCGGGCTCTCTCTTTCCAAATATCCTTTTTAGTACTTGATAATATCAACATTACTCAAAGCAATATTACTTAAATTTGAACATTGGTGCGCGTTTGACGGATCATTTTGATTGTATTGTGAGACAATAAGTTGCATTTGGGCTGTGTGATTCCGTGCGAACCGCAAACAAAAAATCCGCTGATCGAGAAAATTTACAAATTTAAACATGTACGCGCGCCGGACGGTCGCTAGTACCCAATATAAATTTGCAAAAATTTATAAAATTTGTGAAAAAATTGGATAAGGCCATAAATCCTGGCATGTCTCCTGCCTCGGGCATAATATCTCTATTTCCGATGGTAGATTTAAGGAATCATCTTGCTTTGCCAATTTTTGTTACCTTGCGTTTCGATCGCTGATGATCGATCGATGATTATCGTGGTGCTCGCTACTCATTGCGTGCTTCTGCTACTTTATCATGATCTATCTTTCACATCTTTCCACGCTCAAGTCATCGTTGGTATTTATTTATTAATTTTTTTTTTCCTTTTTTTTTCTTTTGTTGATAAAATAGACTTTTCCTTCGGTATAATCGATTGCAAATCAAACTCGAGGATTTAACTTTATATTGTTCGCTCAATCAGAACGCTGATCAATAGTTTCATTTACTAAGGCCATTATATTTGGACAAAGCTAACGACAATTCCTTACGATCGACTGGTCGAAATATTTTGACTGTTATCGAATATCAGTCTGCCCTTGTATGTCCGTCTAGTTGCTCGTACCAATTACTTTCCATTCCCGTACTTCCATAAATGCAATAAATTTTATAAAATTACTTTGCTCCTGTATCTCGTATACCTCTTCAGAATTGCAATGGTCGTGCGTAAAGCTCCACTACTGGCATTGCCATTTACATGCATTGATTTTGTCGAACATTTATTAAGTTTCTTAATTTTTTAGCTTTAGTGCTTGATTGTAAAGTGATATCTCACAGGGAAGTTGAAAACGACTTTTAATATCGTTTTTCAACAACAACTGCTTTCACGTTTCGACATATGAACCTTATATGTTGGCCAACGCATTGCTTTACGAGCTAATAATTTGTAATTGCAATAATAATTCTTTCGTAAATAATTATCCTCCCTCAAACCATCCGCGGCCTTCACGACCCCAGACTCACGTTCAATCCCTTATAAATAAAATGAAAAAGTGTGCTAGCAACAACGCGTGAGTCCTCGAGAGTACGGCAATTGTGGAACCGTATTATTAAGATTATTAAGGGCATCGAAGCCGGGAGACACGCCTGACGCGACGAATTATACGTCAGATTTTTCTCGATCTTCAAACTTCGTGTCTTACCATACATAATTTATATCTTATTTTTCTCCTTAAATCTGCTCTATATCGTTTTTTAAAACTTTATTATTTTTTTTTCTCTTCTTTTTATTAATTTTATTAGAAAACCAATTATTTCTTTGACTGCTCATTCATACTGTTATAACACGTCGCCTAATCGCGGAATAATCCCTGGTCTCTCATCAATTCTATAACCATCCGAAATCTCGCGATTCAAGGCTCCGTCCATTATTTTCTTTAGTTTTTCTTTAAACTTTTTAATTCATCGATATTCATTGTGAAACTGTCCTCGGGTCCTCGTCATCGTCGTCTTATGCACTTTATCGTTGTTTTCAACCGGTTTGGCTATTTGTTTTTGTCTCCATATTGCCTGTCTTCAACTTAACTTTACAACGCTCAGCTATAATCGAATTGTTGCAAAAGCATATGGTTAAATTTTTAATCTTTCTTTCACCTTCATTTTTAATAATAATCTTAAAATAAGTATAATAATATCTACTATTCTTAATCTTAATCTCGACACATGAGATTTGTGTCGTAAGATCATTGTAGCTGAGGAGCCGGTGGGTGATCTTTGAGACAGAAAATAACAGATTTTATGTAGTATAATTTTTTTGTTTCTTACTTTTTATTTATAATATTTTTATAATAAAAATATTTTCTTTTCGAGTTTTTAAAAGTAATATGCTTTACAGAAATTTTGTTTGGTTTTTTTTTTTTTTTATTATTTTATTTTGTTTAAACATGAAAAAATTTGCAGTCGTTGATATGACAGATATATCAGCAGTCGAAGAAGCACTGCTATAGTTTTTCTTCTTTGTAATTGTCTTGATTGATTGGTCCATCGAAGGTAAGAAAGAAATTTATCACTTAATTCTCTAATTTTGAATATACGATTAGGAAAGACAGGCGCGCATCGTTAAAATTAAATCTAAGAAAATGATTATGAATAAACAGAAATTTTATGTACGAATTCAACATAATAGGCATAAATGACCCGAGAAAAAAAAATAATAATTAAAACATCATATCCTGTACATAAGAAATTTCCCGTCTCAAAAATCACAGTGCGGCACCGCGCATTATTTCTCGACGGGTATGGTTTGTAAACCTGTACAAAAAGTTGTTCTTCGTTTACATTCTACGCTTAATAATGATACAATAATGTTGTATTTAAAATGTAACTTATATAACCTTAGTACTGATTAACGATGGCTGCATTCCAGCGTTGGCCCAGCCTTTGGCCGACTGGAGCTAACAGACAAATACGCTCCTTTGAGTGTAAAACTCCGCTGCCTTCTTTCTCTTCATCCCCCCCCCCCCACCAAAAACCCAACATCATATCTGTTCATCTCGTCAAACCTAAGCAACACCTCTAATTTTCTATCTATATACTCTATATAAAATATCGTTAGTATAACTAAAACGCGTGTTGGGTCTAGCTGGAATGCGGCCCTTACTTATGCCTCCCTCTTCATTCATATCAACCTCATTTTTATGCTCTTTCTTAATAATTTTCATTTTATTCTATATTCTAACTTTTCTTTTCAAATTATACGCATAGTAGTCCTCATCTTTCATTCCCATACTCTATCTCTCACTTCAACCATGCTTGCGCACACCTATGCCTTCATACACGCACGTGCGTGCACTTTCTTTTTTCAATCTTTCTCTCGGTATCTTTCTTTCATTTATGCACAAGCATCCTCAATATTTCTTGTTATACTTCTTGTTAACCATATCTTACAATTTTTCAGTCAATGATCTACTGAAAAAAATCGCTCAACTCATTGTAGTCTGTCATTGGTCGGTCAATTAGTTTGATTTCCAGCTGTTTCTTTTGCGGTACACTTTCGTACTGTTCGAACAAATTATATATATTTTCTCAACAGCAACAAAAACGACGTAAATAGGCATCTAATTTCCCGGTTCTACGCCGTCTTCATGTTTTCTTTTCTTGCCTCGGGCAGGAGAGGACTCTGAGAAAATACGACAAAAAAGCAATTAGTTTTGGCTCTATTTAGTTATTTTTAAATCAATCGATAAAGATTCACACCTTCTTGTTGTTGTGCCGGTGGTTGTTGCGATTGTTGTTCATCTTGTTCTTCTTCATCGTCATCATATTCATACTCATCTTCTTCCAACTCACCTTCAACAATGTAATCTTCTTCATCGCTGTCATCCTATAAAGCAAATATCAATTGTGAATTTTTATAAAAATTTTCAACTCATATTATAATGAGTATATTTTTCATTCGCATAACATGTATCATATCATTTTCATTATATATTAATATAGTCGAATTATAACATTCGAACACAATCCTTAATTAATTATAGACATGCGATTTATACTTTTACATAATAATTATAATAAATTTTGGTTACAAATAATTGAATCAATCGATAACAAACCGACTATTATAAAGTAATAAATAATATTTATAAAGAAGTAGGTGAAATATTATGTTATAATATGTATAATATGTATAATATGTGGCAAAACATTGGATGCCTCAATCAATGTATTATTAGTAGCAACATTACAATACTATAATACATAATTAATCAGAATTATCATTATTTAATTAGAATAAATTAATTTCAGAAATGTTTATAGATAATAGTTTATATATTGGAAAACAATGAAAGATGCATAAAAAATATAATATTCAATTTAGACTAAAAAAATAATAAAAATATGTATGAAATGAATAATAATATTTGCAAAAACTTGTAATGACTATTATCTAAACTACCTGATAATCTAAAGATAATTATGAAAGAAAAGATTTAATTACTTTATTAATTTTTAATAATTCATAGTAATAATTATAAAATATAGTGAATAGCATAGTATTTTAAGAAACATTGAAGATAGTTTTTATTAATAAAATTTTAACAAAATTTATTATTAATAATAAATTTTAATAAATTATCAACAATTTTTAGTTATATTCTTAGTGAATTATTCTTCAACAAATAAATAATATATATAGCTGCCGTACATAATCCAAATAGTAATGTAAAATATAAAATATAGAACTGATCAGTGATTTATATATAACAGTTTATAATAATTATGTTACTAACGTATGAAAAGACTGTAGCCAATAAAATATCATTTGGATTGAAGTTAAAAATTATTTTTCACAGAAAAAATAAAATAATAAAAAAGCGCCGCATCATGAACTTGCAATCAATTAAAAACTTAGTATGTACTGATAATATTATGTTTTACTTTACATTATTTTGTATACAAGAACGTTACATTAAATTAAAAAATATTAAAGTAAATTAGATAAAAGAAACTTGAACTAATAATCGTTTGATTTAATACTGTGATACTAAATTTTTAATACAATTAATTTCAAAATTACTATAATTGCAATGTACGTTGTTTCAATATTTATATGTATGATTTAAGTACTTTATTATTTATTTAATTTATTATACATATTATCAAGTTTCAGTAATACTTGCATCAAAATTAATTATATCTGTGAAGATTCATTTTTAAATATAAAAATATAGAATTTACATCGATGTAAAGTAATTATTTATTCGAGCAATAAACAAGGAGTCATTACTTGTAACGCTAAATGTAACAATATTTGCAAAAATATTATAAATTCCTATGTTTTTATTCTAATTGAATATAAAAATATTTTTATACAGAATTCATTAAAAATGAAGAAAATATTGAGCCTACTAAAACACAATCATGAAATATAAAATAGTAAAATGAGTATAGTAATAAAAATATAATATATAATATTCTTATCACGACATAAATAATGTTTTTGATACCATTTATACTAAAAGTTAATAATAGAACAATATAACATTAATTCAATAAGTAATTAGTTAAAAGAAAAAGTTCATTTCTGGAGCTTTATTTATGATTTATTTAATGTTTGTTATTGGTTGCAAAATCAAACATTTGAAATAAATGCTTATTTATATAAAATGATACTTTTCTTTTCCAGTAAAAAATTTAAAACGACGTGTACAACTTATCAATGAAATAAATTAAGAGATTATTTTCCTATAACCAATACAATTTTTGAAAACAATATATTTTTTATTTAATAGTGATGTTAACTTTTCGAAACGTAATTGTCGATTTTTATGATTGAATTTGCAGTTATTTTGCAAAAGGTCATTAATACAAAATTTATATATTGAAAATATTTAATGAAAAATTTAAACATACTTTTTTTTGCATTTTATCTACTTGATTGATTAACTCAGGATTTATTTAATTAATTTATACTGATAAAATATCAGTTCTTATCTGTACATTATTTATTGTGTACGAACGAGGGAAAATTTTTATGGGATATATGTTATGTTGTCATTCCAGCAAATATGAACTAATAAATGTAAAAAATTATTTTGTTTTCCATAATATGAAATAATTAAAAGAAATCTTAATCTACTTAAAATATTGATTATTATATATCAAAATTAAAAAATTTAATTCACAAACATTTAATACTTAGAACTTGCAACAATGGAATAACCCTTTAAATTAACAATTACTTAGTATTTCATAAATTTATGAAAAATTTAATTTAGCATTTAGTATCTATAGTCTGTATCTTTAATATTGAAATAAATTTGTTTTAGTATTCAGGTATTTTTAAAAAATTACTTATGCATGATTTCCAAAAATATAAGTAAAATTTCAATAGAAGTTCATGTTACGCAATACATTTAATAAATACAAAAATAAATATAGAATTGCTTATTTTCGTGAAGCTATTTAGATATACTTAAATGGCTGCACACATAATAAACAAGCATAACGTATTTTTAACCAAAGGTAGTTAAAAAATCGATTTTTATATACACATTGGTTTCTTCTCCCTGCTCTCTGCTCTCTCTCTCTCTCTCTCTCTCTC